CCTGTATGCCGTTGATCATCCTAAAAGTTTGTTCATTTTTTATTTGTAAATTATTGCAATTCCTATACCTTTGGGTATTAGCCCCTTATCCGATTTTTGGTGTGCAGGTATTTTTCCCATTCGGTAGTTTATTGTTTCATTGTGGCATTTGTGGTGTCGAAGGTTTTAATCGGATGCGGACTCACTTGTCTGTTTCTGCTTTTGTTGCATCGGCTTCTAGTGCCGTGCTGAAGAATTGACTGAGAAGGCAAAGTCATGAAACTATTCCGTATGCTTTCTTCCAGGATGCTGGTGTGTGTGTGTGTGTGTGTGTGTGTGTGTGTGTGTGTGTGTGTGTGTATGCGCGCGCGCACGCTAAGGATCAAATCCGGAGCCTCACTCAAGTTGGGTCAGCACTCTGCTATTCAGCTCCCCACTAGCTGATGTTACCTTCTTTCCCCCCACTAAATGATCTAGCATTTACTAGTGCACTGGCCAGACAGATGCAAAATCTGCCTTAGGACCCAAGGCTGTATCTCCAGCTACAAACTACAAAGCCTAATCATGTTGATTAGGTTACATATATTGGGGCCAGTAGAGGGCCTGAAGAAGACCCTATCCCAACTGAGTCTTTAATGACAGGTCCTGTTACTCCCAGTGAGAGGAAGAGCAGGGCACCTCACCTTCATCAGGAAAACTGAAGAGTTCTGTGATGTCGAGTTCAGCCTAGGCTCCAGAACACAGTGCAGCAGCTACTCCATCCTGTTTGCATTTGGGGATCGCTGATGGTAATCTCTGTGAAGATAGAGTCCCCTGACCATTGGGTGGGTCTGAAGGCTGTGATGGAGGAAAGGACAAAAATTTGAAGCTGCAGGGGAAAAAGAATTGCTGGACATTCTGGATAAGGTGGGCATATTTTGGCCTGGAAAGGTCTGGTATAGTTTCGACTGTTACTGTTGCTGCTTTATCAATTTGAGCCACCCATATGTCTTGGGGCCAGACCCTTACAGTTGTCTCCCTTAGGTTGAGTTTCAAAGGCAATGCCTTCTGCAGGGAATACAGTCTCGAGCTCTTCATGATGTTTGTAGGTAAGCAAAGCCGTTCTTGATGCTTCTTTGATTCTGTGGAATTGGCTAGATCCTATAGTGTCAAGTGCAAGCAGGGTTCACCGTGATTGCTGAAGGGGTGTGGCTAGGATTCACCATGGACACTGTGTTCATCAAAGGTCTGAGACCAGCTGGCTCCTGTGCTGTCAAGCTCATGGTGGAATCATTTGGCATGATGAAAGTGTCTGTGTTCTGTTGGGCCTTTTTGTTTTTAAGCAGGGTTCTGAAATAATTAGTACTCTGTGAGTGGCCAGCCAGTCCTGATTCCTGGTTCTCTCTCTGCCAGTTTCTTTGTCCATTATTACTTTTGCTAAAGCTTGAGACTAATTTTATTAGGATGGAGAAACAACAAGGCAAACAAGTTGTAAGTCTCAGCAGCTGCCAGAAGAGATAGAGACAGTGAGATGTGTCCATTGAGTCAGTGCTCAAGAAAGCAGGCAGGCTTAGCAGTGGTGGTCAGTCAACATTGCATGGACGGTCGCAAGGGAGTTTCAGAGAATGAGTGCATATGTCCAGAAGGGCAGGGCAAGTGTGCTTAGGATTTTGGCCAGGATCCAAGGAAGAGATAGACAAGGGGGGAAAGAAAAGGTGATGATTATTGAGTTAGAACTCAGAAATGGGCGGGCTTAGCAGAGAGATCTGTCATTAATGCCTCAGTCTTACTTATGTTTAAAGTGCTAACCCTTACAAATGAAACCATCCAACAGAGGAGAAATCTAACCCCCCTCTCTCCCTCTCTCCCTCTCTCTCTCTCTCTCTGTGTGTGTGTGACTGTGTGTGTGTGTGTGTGTGTGTGTGTTCCTAGTTGTCCACTATCAGTAATGGATGTAAAAGGAATTGACTTACTCGTACTCATGTATATAGCTTTGCCCATTTCTGAGATTATTTCGGTAACCAGACTTGTTTAACTTGTTTGGACCTTAAGAAAATGTGTTGTTTCTAATTGTATTCAGATCTCTCAGCAGTTGAAAACAGGAACGTACTTTTCTTCTTCTGTCTGAAAAATATCTTGCCTAGACTTTACTCAATCAAATGTGGTAGGTACAATAGTGGCCTCTATAAAGGCTTCTGTGTCCTAATTCAAGAGCCCTGTGACTGTGTCACTGTATATGGTGAGAGGGGATTTGCAGATGAAGTTGAAGTAAACCTTGGGATGCAGAAATTTCCTGGGTTAGCTGGTCGGGGGAGCAATGTTATGAAAGATGAAAGAAGAGTCAGTGTTACATTGTGCCAAAGACTCAACTGGCCATGTAGCAGGATCCAAACCCAAGGACTCTTCTAGAAGCTGGTAAAAACCAAGGTATAGGTTTTCTTCTTAGGTCCTCCAGGAAACTGTGGATAACCAGATTTTGAGATAACATATTGGTATAATGATGATGATGATGTTAGGGTTCTATTGCTGGGAAGAGCACCTGACCAAGGCAACTCTTAAAAAAGAAGACATTTAATTTGGTGCTGGCTTACAGTTTTAGAGGGTTAGTCCATGGCCATCAAGGTGGGGAGCATGATGCTGGAGCAGTAGCTGAGATCTACATCTTGATCTGTTGGTGGAGAGAGACTGGGTTTCACATGGGCTTTTGAAACCTCAAAGCTCACTCCCAGTGACATCCTTCACGAATATCCATATCTACTTCAAGAAAGTCACACCTCCTAACCCTTCTAACCATTTCACATAGTTCCTCTCTCTGGTGACTAAGCATTCAAATATATGAGCCCATGGGAGCCATTCTAACTCAAATCACCATAGCACCTTAGCCTTCATTTTATTTGGTCATTTGTTACAGGAGGAAATTAGCGTAAAATATACAGCAAGGACTTTTTTTTTAAACAATTACAAAAATTTAAATAGGAGCACCAGTTTTTTTCTTTCTCTTCTTTCCTCCCTCCTTCCCTCCCTCCCTCCCTCCATCCATCCCTCCCTCACACTCCCTCCATCCCTCCCTGCATTTCATTGCCATATAGACTAGGCTCTCTAGCAAGCAGCTTTTGGGTTCTTATTCTTGTCCTCAACTCTGAAGTAGTTAAAAAGTGTGCACACTTAATATGCTACAAAAGATAAAAAGTAGGTCAGGCAGGGTGGTGCACTCTGGGAATTTCAGACTTAGGGAGATTGTAACATGAATTAATAAATGACCCAGATACTGATAATGGGGTTCAAACTTCAAGCTGAAGGTCAGAAAAGGAAAGCAGCTGGCCACTAGCTCTCACCTCCAGCTCAGGCTGAAAGGGCTGATTCATGCTCAAGGTCTTCGCCAAGTCTCAAACTGCTGCCTTTCCTCATTGAGGCTGGAGAACGAATGCCTCACACTGACTACTTGCTCCTGCCTTTTATACCCCTCTAGTGCTGGGATTAAAGGTGTGAGCTATAATTCTCTTTTAGACTGATTCAATCTTGTGTAGATCTGTGTGGCCTTGGACTCACAGAAATCCGTCTACTTCTTAGTCCTGAGTCCTAGGATTAAAGGTGTGTACCACTACCTCCTAGTTTCTGGCTGTTGGGATTAAAGGTATGTATCACCACTGCCTGATCTCTATAGCTTGAGGCTGACTTTGCTTTTCTGAATCCTCAGTCAAGCTTTAATAAATCATAAATAATTTATCACTACAGGAGATGGAGATAATGAGAATTTCAAGTGTGAAGCCTGCCTAGGCTACATAGCAAGACCCTTTTCCCAAAGGCAAACAAAAAAAATGTGTGTGGCCTAACAGAAACAGCATTGGTGCCCTTCAGCATTGGAGCATGGACTGCCAATGTCCCAGGCACCATTAGATGCATGTGTCACCATTCACTTATCCATTTACTGGTTGATGGACATTTTGGTTGTTTCTAATATTGGGTTATATTTATAATTTATGTACAGATTGGTCTTTAATGCTTTTTAAAAATTATTTAATTTGTATGTTCATTGGTGTTTTGCATTTATATATGTGTGAGCATGTTAGATGTTGGAGTTACAGACAGTTGTTAGCTGCCATATGGATGATGGGAATTGATCAGGTGCTTTGGAAGAGCAGTCAGTGTTCTTATCTACTGAGACATCTCTCCAGCCCCAGGTTGGTTTTTTGGTTTTTGTTTTCTTTTTTGAGATAGAGGCTCATGGAGCCCACACTGGGCTGGAACTTGTTAAGTATGTAGCTGAAGATGACCTTGAACTTCTGATCATCCTCTTGCCTCCATCTCCACAGTCCTAGGATTATGGTTGTGTGCCTAGCTTTATGCAGTGCTGGAGATTAAACCCAGAACTTTCTATATGTTGAGTGTCTTAGTTCGAGTTTGTATTGCTATGATAAAGCACCGTGACCAAAAGTTACTTGGGAAGGAAAGGGTTTATATTTCAGGCTTATAGTTCCGTGTTATATTCCATTAACGAAAGAAGTCAAGGCAGGAACTCAAGGCAGGAACTGAAACACAGACCATGGAGGAGTGCTGCTTACTGGTTTGTTCCTCTTGGCCTTTTTAGCTAGCTTTTTTACAGCACCCAGGTCGACCAACCCAGGAGTGGCAAATCAATTAAGAAAATGCTCTACAGATTTGCTTGCAGGCATTCTGATTGAAACATGTTTCTCAATTAAGATTCCTTCTTCCCAGATGACCCTAGCTTGTGTCACATTGACATCAAACTAGCCAGCACACTATACAAACAATCTGCCCACAATGCTATATCCTCAGACTTACATACAAGTTTTTATGTAGACATACACTTTCATTTCTCTTGGTTAAGTTGTTGGAAGTGGGATTTTTGGATAATATATTGTGTTTTAATTTTAGAATCTGCTACATTTTTTTCAAAACGTTTTTTATCAAAATGGTTGTACCATTTTGCCTACCAACAATTGTCAGAATTCCAGTTTAATAGTAGGAGAGGGTACAGAATAACACTGACTCTTCCACTCCACCGCCAAGTCTGTTTGCTGATGTTAGATTTTTTTATGATTAGCAGACATTCTAAACCATGTTTGCTTTATCTCCAGTTGGTGTAGAATGTGACTCAGTAATTTACACATAGTTCCTAAATAAACAAGACATAATTCTTTGCACTACCCCAGATGGCCTTAATTTCCTTATGCCACCTAAGGTGTGTTTCGTCTAAAAACTGACTCAATCATACATGAGCAAGTGTGGCGTTGCCTTTAAGGGTTCCTGGGAGAGGGGTCGTACAGCAGGGAGCATCTGGAGGTACAGGTGGGTATATACGTATTCACACATCCATAAAGACTATCTAAAATCAGAGCATTGTGTCTTGTTTCTGCTTAAGAAAGGAGGTTGAGAGTAGGGGTTTGCTTGTTCAGAGGGATCAATTTAGTTTATGGTTTTGAGTTACAAAGTTGGAGGCATTCTGAGTGGTTGGTTATCTGGTAGTAGCTGTGGGACCTTTAGTTCTGTAGGCTCCTCTTCTTGGGCAACTGGCATATTCATTCTTCCATGAAATCTTGCTCTTTGGCCTTGACTCCAAAAACCCAAGGGAACTCTTTCCCAAATGCACTGGGCTTCTTTACTTGGGATGAACTGTGCCTGGTCCTAACAATAAGAAAACAAACTAGTTGTCACAATATGGCTAAAAATGCTTTCAATTGGGTAGCCATCCTAGACAAGTGAGAGACCCTGTGTAAAAAATTAAAATGTTGGATGACATCCCAGGACTGACACCTGATGTGCATGCACCCGTGTTGTGTGCATTTACATGTACACACAGCAGCAGCAGCAGCAGCAACACCAAAAAAATCCCGAGACTTTCTCATTTCCCCCAGACAGGTAGGCAAGAAAGGTGGGCTATGGATCTCAGCTGGGCTATGCCCAGCACACTGTCTGTGGTGACTGGCTTTGAATCCAAGAGTTCTAGTTCAGTTAGTCTTTCTAACACTTCATCTATGTAACACAGTGTCTTCTTTGAGAAGGCTGAAAAGAAGGAACTTTGTTTTTGTTTCACTGTTGTTGGACAAGATGGTGGGCGAATATAAATGGTTCCTTAGAGGCTGAGAACTTGTTATTCCAGCGGCCCAGAAGGAAGAGACGTGAGCTCTGATCTGTCTTCAAGGGTTTCCTGTGCTTGGTTCTCCTCCTCTAGCATAGACCCATCTTTCACATATCCCTGTCACCGATGCTGAAGGAGAACCATGTCCTCATTATGGGTGGAGTGGAGTGAGAGAGATTGTGAGGAGGGACAGGACCTGAATAGGAATCAGGATTGAAGATCTAAAGTGGCAAAGATCATCAAGAGAGTGTAAACACCTTCCTTAGGCTTTTTGAAATTTTTATGGAAAGTTCTGGGTCTCCACAGTTACGTGCAATATGGCATAGAATTTATATTTAAATGTTTAGTGAAAGACAGTGAAATGGAGGGTGATTCACATGCAAGAGAAACTGTATCATTAACAGGGTTGGGAGGTTCAGATGCTAATCTAAATGAAAATAGTTCATAAACAAAAGAAATACACGATTTCAGACGTTAAATATCTTAGATATTTTTCAAAAAAGGAATTCAGATTTTAAATTCAACATCGAGTGATTATCCGGAAGTTGGGAGTTTTATGACTAAGTTTTTTTTAAATGAATTATTCAGCTCAAACTGATAGTTACAACATAGTTAAAATAAAAATGACTGGATGTGACCCAAACATGTCATGAGAAGACATAAAGATTTAAGATTCCCAGTAACAACAGCAGAGCAGTTCAGTAGGAACGGAAAGTCGCTTGGTTGTGCAATAGCTGGCTGAGACTGGGAGGAGGTGTGAGAAGAAATGTCAGGCACAAGGAATGGCCAATATGGATGGAGTGGACAGAGCAGACCCTTGGTGTGGAGCATCTTCGTGTTCATTGGTACCCATGGGAGGAAATGGAAGGAATGGCCAATATGGATGGAGTGGACAGAGCAGACCCTTGGTGTGGAGCATCTTCGTGTTCATTGGTACCCATGGGAGGAAATGGAAGGAATGGCCAATATGGATGGAGTGGACAGAGCAGACCCTTGGTGTGGAGCATCTTCGTGTTCATTGGTACCCATGGGAGGAAATGGAAGGAATGGCCAATATGGATGGAGTGGACAGAGCAGACCCTTGGTGTGGAGCATCTTCGTGTTCATTGGCATCATTGTGTTCATTGGAGGAAATGGAAGGCTCTCTACCCTTAGGATGGGGAGAACTTAAAACTGCAATGAGGAACGTGAGCTAGCATGAAGACTGTCATCGTTAAGAACCCGGCTCTTTTTATTCCACCATATACCCGCGTGGCATCAGAAAACCTTTAGCCTCTAAGCCCAAGTGGTTCTCAGCCTGTGGGTTGTGACCCTGTTGGAGGGGTGGTTCCAAATGACCCTTTCATTGGGGGTCACCTAAGACCTATGGAAGACAGATATTTACCTTACAATTTGTAAGAGTAACAGAATTACATTGATGAAGTAGCAATGAAAATAATTTT